TTAAAGTTCTCTCTATCATGGCATCAATAGACTGATCGAATTTCTGTCGACCAAATGAACCCTATTTAATTATTTATTGTGTTTAATATAGAATTAAATATTCTGATTGAATGGATCAAATCTTTTTCTTACATTAATTTTGGTGGAAAATCAGTTTGGTTGGACATGAATTTGTCTGATGTATCCAAATTTTTCTTTGTTTTTTCATATGAAACATGTATTAAATATTTGAAGTGGTTAGGGAATGAAATTACCGACTACTATTATACAACAAACTAATATTCGTGGGTCTCAAAACTAAAACTCTAATACCATATTATTTAATTTCACCACCAAGCTACATTCTACCACAAACTGAACAAATTGGCTGCCAACTGCGAGTCGGTCACGAGAATCCTATGTATTATAAAAATAAAAAATAAAAAAACTTGGAGGTGTGCTATGGTCAATTGTTTATGCACTCGTGCATAATTTCACGAATAATTTTTAACTGTTGATGCATGTGAAGTTCATAGTAATCGTGAGATTTCGTCACATGCACACGTGAACGACTAAGGGTAGCAAAAATCAAGAAACCCTAGCGACAAATAGAAATCCGGACTCTCAATATGATTCATACATGGACCACCCAACTTCTCTCTTTATGTTCTCATTCCTTTTCTTTACTTTCTCAGCTAAAGTTATGGACCATATATACAGGGAGCAGAACAATCAGCTACCCTGTTTCTTTTCTTTTGTTGGGAAAACTTTCAAACAAATCATTGGTCCATTTGTTTGTTCTTGTTAGGCTGATGACAAGAGCATTGCGCTATCATGTACAACGTTGACGTTTTATACTTTGCTTGTGGTTATAAATCCTCAAACAAAAAGCCAAATTTGGTTCTCGCGTTAATTCGTTTTGATTAGTCTCAGACTCTTAGTCCATCATCAGTTCTTGTCGGCATTGAGAACTAAAACATAGTCAATGAGGTTAGGCAACAAAAACAGCTTTATAGGTTGAAATAAGTAAAATGTCTAGACACAAGGGAGAGCCTTACCGAAACCAAACCTCTCATTTTCTTCTGTTTTTTTTTATTTTCTCAAAAGAGTTATTAAAGTCATTAACTAAGTTAATTAAGTTTGATCTATTGTCGAGAAAATAGATGCAAGTCATTCGAATCTCGAGCTCTTACACGTGATTCTTATTTAAATATCAAAATACTATGTTATGTCAAACGAACTTAAGAGTCACTCGTGTAATTTAGATTTAGATATTAAACCACTAAACCCTTACTAAACAAGATTTTCAATTAAATATTCCTTATTAAACTAATTACTTATAGGAAGTTTATAAATACGTTATGAAAAGGAAAAAGGAATATACTTTTTACATAGTTAACGCAACAAGGTTTGGAGGTTCTTGGTATACTCGCTCCAAAAGGCGCGTGAACGGAGGAGCCCTCCGTCACCAGCAACCTTCTTCTCCCCCACTCCCCTCCCCCCATCATTTCCCCGAAGGCCGAAATTCATACATACACAACACAATGCCTCATTTTAATTCTAAATAAATAAATAAATAAATAATAATTCCGTAAATAAATTTGAAACAAAAATAGAGAAACCCCCGTTCTGCGTTTCTCTAACATGCGCCATATGCTATTCGCCACCATCACCACCACCATGCCCTCCTCAGCCGCCGCCACGTCATCGTCCTCCCCAACCCCCAAACCCAAATCCTCAAACCCTAACTCTAACGGAAACCCTAACTGCACCCTCCTCTGTAAGCACTCGCCTTCTGCAACCCTCGACCTCCTAATCCTCATCCTCGTCCTCTTCTCCGGGACCTTCCTCATCACCTCCTACTTCTCCTACATCTTCAATTCCCTCTCTCTCCTCCTCTCCCACTCTAGCATTCACCTCCACCACATTCCGGTCCCTTATGTCGTCGGCTTCGTCGCTTTTTTTGCCGTCGCGCTGTTCATAGTCGAATTTTGCTGTGGCACTAGATCGAGAAAGTGCGACAGGCCTGGGTGCAAGGGTTTGAAGAAAGCCATGGAATTCGATTTGCAATTGCAGACCGAGGAGTGTGTGAAGACCGGGTCGAAAGATATCGATAAGCTGCCGTGGAAGGGCGGGAGCGAGGGCAATCCCGATTACGAGTGTCTCAGGTCTGAGCTGAGGAAGATGGCGCCCCCGAATGGCCGCGCCGTTCTGCTGTTTCGGGCGCGATGCGGGTGCCCCGTGGCCAAGCTCGAAGGTTGGGGTCCCAAGCGAGGACGCCGGCATAAGAAGTGAGTTTTCAGATTTTCATGGAAATGTTAATTTTTGTTGGTTTATCATGTGTTTTCTTGATTTATATTGTTCTTTCATGCTCTTTGTCATGCATGCATTTGGTTGCTTCTTCGATTATATGGATTTGAATTGGATTGAGTACATGTTTTGTTTGTATTGATCTGGGTAGGTTTCAATTTGGAGTGGAAAAGTGTTTATATATGCAACTTAATGGATGCTATGAATTGAACATTTGAACTTTAAAGGGGTTGCTTAATTTTTTTGGAAATTCGTATAAAATGTTTACAGGGTATTGCCAGCTCTCTTGAATTCCAAAGGGCTGTAGAGGTAGAGATTAGATAGATATCCATGCATGAACCTAGATCTCATTATTCGGAGCTGGTTGCAGACTGTACGCTCTGGTTACCTGTTTATAGTCATCTGCAGGACTTTAACATGTAGGTCTGACTCCAACTCCAAGTTTGATATCTCTCATATAATATCTTCAACAAGTCATGTGATCTATATGGAATGATGCTTCATTGATGGCAGCAAGTCCATACTGTAAAAGGTAGAACACAGGGTTTTTTGGAAGCAGGACTCTTTCTGTGTTGGCAGATTTTGCTTTTAGTTTGACCCTTCCATCATTCGTCCACCACTGAAACAATAAACTGCAGATAATGTGTCTTTTCATTTTGTATCTCTGGCTAGATTTGTTTGTAGCTATGGCATATTGGAGCTGGAATTTCCAAACAATCGAGGCTAGAATAATGATTTGTTTGCTCAATGGAGCCTGAATTATCTAGGAGTTCAATAGTGTATGCTGCATATATGAGTTCAGTTGGAGATATATCTTTGGTAGTGCACTGTTAGATTTATGCTTGTGTTTAGATTTATCTGTGTAGATAGCATGCACATGTGATTATTAAACAGGAGAGTACTCCCTAGTAGAGATTATCTTACGATTGGTGTGGGAAGATTTTAATCAGAATTTGAAGAAGCATTTGTATGATCTTGGTAGACAAACTGGAGCAGAACATGGTTCTATATGATTTTTCTCCACAAAATTAGTATATACACAAACCTGAGTCCTTGGTATAAACTAACAGGATTAGGATGATGATATGATGATTAAGTTTTCCTTTTCAAAAATGATATGGTGATTAAGTTCATGTATTTGTCTTGATGTTTGTTGGGTACTTCATTTTATTGTTGTAGCATGATGGGCCATCCCGGTATAAAGTACCCAGCCATTGCAGGTTCTAGATCTATCTGACCAGCCATTATTGTGTAAGAAGGTAACACCTCATAAGAGGCCTTCACCAATGTATTTGCTGTTTGGGGAAGAGAGTAGTTTGGTCCGTTTCCTAGAACCTTACCTACAATGCAGCTGTCAAATGAGAGCAGGAGTGGTAGTGCAGGAAATAGTGAGAAACCAGCATTATAGTTTAGCAAGAACCCATAGGCTCCTAGGGTTCAATTTTCTTTGTCCTTATTCAGGATGGGTCCAGTTTAAGGGTGTCCTTTGGGCTGCATTTCTGGTTCAATTCAGTTCTAGATTCTAGAAAGATTTTGACAATTAGCTTGATGACTGTGTGCTAATTTCGTTTTTAGTTTTGTCATTGGTTAGTTCATTGTGATTCTTGATTAAATTTCAGTTATTTGCAGTTTGTTTCACTTTATCATTAGAAGATAGTGCCCTAAGCCACCCCCTCCCTCAGTGTATTTGTTGGGTTGTTGAACTATTATTTACTTTGCAGGCGAACTTATTGCTTTTGTAGGCTGGTATTGTTTGTGTCTTAACTATCGTATGACCCAACCCTGAAAGTGTTATAGCCGATTTACTTGGAATTGCAACCGTGCAAGCTATCTATGGCTGCATCTGCATTGTTTAAGGTTGAGGACGATTATAATCTAAACTCTCTCTGGTCTTGCAGGGCTCTTGCCAGTATGGTTCCTAATGGAGGAGACAATCACTGATTGTTCGGGATGCTTTCGCCACCAGAGCTCCCTTTACATGTTCTATCATTTACCTGTTAGATTATAGATGTTTTTTTTTTCTTTTGTTTTTGTCTGTACTTCACCCTCAATCGAAACAATTCTTTTTCTTTGATCATATATTCTGGTGGCGCACACGCATATGTCTGAAACAAACTTGTCTAGAGAAGCATCATTTCGAGCGATTTCTCACATTTGGAACGATATAACAAATTTAATGAGAATAAATATATGAAATGTCAATTGGATATTTATTTGACGTTAAATCTATCATCCTCTCTACCATGCTTGCCGAGCTAAATGGTTTTGAACTTTTGTATAATCATTTTCCTTTTAGAATCGAGATGAGGTGCACACATGGACATAGCTAATGAGTTGGCTAGAGTGGATGTGCTTCTCCATCTGCACTTGAGTTCAAATTCCCTTCTCTTATAGTTTAGATTATATTAAAATATAATATCGTTTATATAAAAAGAAATAATAATAATAATAATAAAGAATTGAGATGACTTAGTCTATGGTTTTTGCCAGTTAGATAGGGCATTGAGTTTGCCTCCTTAAACCTAAATTCGAATTCTCTTTTGCATAAATTAAATTAATTTATAATAGTTTAGATTATCACTCGTATCAAAAGGAGAAAATAAAGTTTCTAAACCCTTTCTATTTGTATTTGGGAGCTGATGTTGTTGGCACTCTCTAAAAAGTTTCCTTTCATGTTTGCTTAATCAAAATTCACACTTTAAATTCATAAATTCATTTATTAAAAAAAAAAAATTATAAATTCAAGGACGTGTGCCAACAAAGCTTACGAAAACCTTCTTTCTCCTTCGGTTCAAATCAAACCCCACTCAAAGCGTCTTATGGTCTCATCCCATGCTCATATCTCTAAGACCCAAGTGGTTCCCGGGCTTTCCAAACCTCTCTCGTTTAGGCCTGAAATGGGTCTCCACCGCCACCACCCAAAACCCAGAAGACCATCTGCGTTTGTTCTTCAAATGCAGAACGAACCAAACCCACACCGACTACGAGCTCGCATTGGTTTCGGTTTTGAAGTCCTGCTCATCCCTCGTGGCCGTCTTCCAAGGCCAACAAATCCATTCAATTGTTCTGAAATCTGGGCTCCACTCGAACACCTTCATCAACAACAGCTTGATTAACATGTATGCCAAATGCGGCTTCATCGCCGATGCTGAGTCGCTATTCGGTTCTTGTTCTGAGTTAGACCCGGTGTCTTGCAATATTATGGTTGCTGGGTATGTGAAATCTGGTCAGTTGGACAATGCGCGCCGGCTGTTTGAGATAATGCCCAGGAAAGGTTGTGTCTCGTACACTACCATGATAATGGGCCTTGCCCAAAATGAGTGTTGGACTGAAGCCATTAAGGTTTTTAAGGACATGAGGTCTGCGGGTGTGATTCCGAATGAGGTGACAATGGCGACTGTAATCTCAACTTGCTCCCATTTGGGTGGGATTAGGAATTGTCGAATGCTTCATGCTTTGGTAGTTAAGTTGCAGCTTGAGGGGTTTGTTCTTGTTTCTACGAATTTGTTACACATGTATTGCGGTTGTTCAAGTGTTTGGGAAGGAAGAAGTTTGTTTAATGAGATGTCTGAAAGGAATATAGTTTCGTGGAATGTCATGTTAAATGGGTATGCAAAAGCTGGGCTTGTTGATTTGGCCAGAGAGTTATTTGACAAGATTCATACAAAAGATGTGGTTTCATGGGGTACAATGATTGATGGGTATGTGCAAGTAGACTGGCTAAGCGAAGCTATGGTAATGTATCGAGCAATGCTGCGTACCGGATTGGGACCAAATGATGTTATGCTTGTAGATTTGATTTCGGCATGTGGGCGTTCCGAGGCAATACATGAAGGTGAACAATTTCATGAGAGAATTGTAAAGGAAGGTTTTGACTGCTATGACTTTATACAGGCAACAATCATCAATTTCTATGCAGCTTGTGGCCGCATGAACCTTGCTCATCTTCAGTTTGAAAAGGGCATCATGCAGCATGTTGCGTCTTGGAATGCACTCATTGCAGGATATATAAGAAACAGAATGATTGACCAGGCAAGGCTTTTGTTTAATGAGATGCCTGAAAGAGATGTGTTTTCATGGAGTTCCATGATTTCTGGTTATGCACAGAGTGAACAACCGGAATTGGCTCTGGAACTCTTTCAGAGAATGGTAGCTAGTGGGATCCAACCAAATGAAATTACGATGGTGAGTGTTTTCTCTGCAATTGCTACATTAGGCACATTGAAAGAGGGAAGATGGGCCCATGAATACATACTTGAGAACTCCATTCCTCTTAATGACAATTTAAGTGCAGCACTCATCGATATGTATGCCAAATGTGGGAGTATCCATTCAGCCTTAGAGGTGTTTTACCAAATCCGAGACAAAGCCTCTACTGTCTCACCATGGAATGCCATTATATGTGGGTTGGCCATGCACGGACATGCAACATTGTCTCTCGAAATATTTTCGGACTTGCAATGGCGTAATGTCAAACTCAATTCAATCACATTCATCGGAGTCCTAAGTGCATGTTGCCATGCTGGCTTTGTGGAGGCTGGGGAGAGGTATTTTAAAAGCATGAAGAACGTTTACAACATAGAACCAAATATCAAGCATTATGGTTGTTTGGTGGATCTCCTGGGCCGAGCTGGGCGAGTAGAAGATGCTGAGAAAATGATAAGGAGCATGCCCATGAAGGCCGATATAGTGATATGGGGCACGTTATTGGCGGCATGTAGAACACATGGGAATTTGGAAATAGGAGAAATGGCCGCAGAGAATTTGGCAAGGTTGGATTCATCTCATGGGCCAGGTAGAGTTCTCCTATCCAACATATACGCAGATGCAGGGAAGTGGGAGGAAGCCTTTTCTGTACGGCGAGCAATGCAGAGCCTAAGACTGAAGAGATCACCGGGGCATAGTGATGTTGTATGATGAGGGTGCTGGGGTTCTAAAACGCTCAAAAGTTTTGGTCAATTTGAAGTTGAGGATTGCCGTACAATTGTTATGAAGGCTTTCATTTTTTACCATAAAGAAGTGAAGTAATTTGAGATTTCAAATGTATCACTGCAATTGGCAAGCTGAATTTTTTAAGGGAAGAATAAAGGTAACCAAAACACAAGAAATTATGGCTCGCTTTGAATTATCATTTCTGCAGCTGCACCCATGAAATCAACACCACCAATCCCCAGCAAATCCAGAGCAAGCTCCTCCTCATTCCACTGCCTCAGATTCTTACTAATTGTCTTCAACACATCTACATCCACTTCCAGCATCCAAGTTGGCATGCAAACCACCATCAGGCTAATGAATCCCAAGACATAGGAGCGCCAAGTGGTCTCATCACAGCCAAGAGATATCTGGCCATTTAGTGCTCTTGCAAGAAATTCCATGTGAGTTCCAAGAATCTTTGGACGCCGCTTGGATCCCCAGGATGATGAGTCAACGCCCCATACAAAGCCTCCACATAGAGATGCAAAGTATGCAACCACGTATCCCTTTAGCCATGCAACTCCGTTTGGTTCTCCCTCTTGTCTGGAGCTGTGAACAGATACAAACCATGAAGGCAGAAATTCTTTAAACAATGACTGAACCAGACCTAGGCCTCCAGATAACCACACTAAAGAAGCGGCGAGTGAAGCCACTAGTTTAACCCGAGTCAAGTTTGAATCCATCAGATACTTTCCCTGTATCATTACATTCTTGGCCGTCTTCAGTCTCTTGCATCCCTCTATAGGAAACCCACTGCCTGTTATCTCTCTCACAGAATGCATCAAGAGGGAAACAATCTCTTTGTTTAAGAAGACAATGTCTGATAAATATGGATAAGCATGTAGATAGAGGATCGCTGGGGCAACAGGAGAAACCCTGCCATGGATATGAGATCCAATTCCATGGCCAAGAAGAGCTCCAATACCTCCGTTGTATGAGAGAGGAGTGGAATGTAGGCCAAGTGTGGCAGTGAAGCAGCTCTTAAGAAGCTGGACAAAAGCATCTCGGTGTTGGAGGAAGACAGTACGAGATCCAGAGAAGACAAAGTAGGCACTCCAACGCTTTGCTTTCTGGGTCCAGAGTGAATAAACAATTGGCATGCAGGGCCATGGGCAACCTGCTGCAATGGAGGCCAAAGCCACTTTAGCTAAGTCGAGGTATCGTTTCGAATCTTTGTCGGTTTTATATGTTATAGTAAGGCTCACTAAGGCAGCAAGAGGCAACGGCATTGTAGCTTGAGAGCTTCCATCTGTGACAACAACCATCCTTAGCCATGTTATTGAAGAAATAGATCCTAGAATAGAGTGAGAAGGAACCATTTCTGATGTTATTTGAACTTTTAATATCGACTTCTGGGATTTAAACGATCAAACAGTTGAGAAATGGGTATCTTTTATGTGTACACATTTATGTGATGTGGGAAAAACAAAAAAACCAAAAAAAAAAAACCTGAAGCAGCAGCGCTTGAGACCTCAACAGCAGTGGCAGCTATAATTTCCTTGATCTTTTCCACAACATTTGACAAATTTGCATTAGGGCTGGGCCAATCTTTTCCATTCATAAAAGCTGGTTTCCAAACACCCCTGGTTACTTCAGCTGAGAAGTAGCTTACGATGGTTGCCACAGATGCAGGAAGAAAATCAACTAAGACTTTAAGCCCTAAAGATAACAAGAACATCTAGGTCTTAGTAGTGCACATATGAACCGAATTATAATGAAGAGCAACTGTTTTATCAAAACAGGTTGACACATGAATCCAATTATAGGAAATTAGATGAGGAGGCTTAGACTTACCAGTAGCCAGTTTCCGAGGAGAGAGTATCCCATTAGCACAGGCTGTTAAAGCAGCATCAGCTACGAACGGAACAGCTGCCAGAATATCCCAAGCAGGCAATTTACTTAAAAAGGTATGTTCATTTGCTTCTTTAGATGAACTTCCACTTGCAGAAGTATTAGATTCCGCGGACTTTCTTCCTTGCTCCTTTTCTTTGAACATCATGTTCAAAAGCTCATCAACATGGTGATGAACGGGGGTTCCGCGGGGAAGTCCAGAGAGGGTTGAAGCTATGCATGCATTGTGCTGCATGTACCAGGCTTTTAACTTTGGAAACAAATCAACAAAGATAGGTTGTGCAGATGATGAGCTTGCAACTGCTGCAAGTCTCCTTTTATTATGATCCTGGTGGACATTTGCCGAGGATGCTAGGTGGGAGTTTCGTACTAATAGAAGGTATTCTGGACTGATGTTAGATCGAACGGTTGAGACATGTCCTGGTTGATCTGCAAAGCAATAATTAAACCTCCACAGCTTCAGAAGAAGTGTGAATCCATTAGAAAACACAGTATGAGGATCAGAGGTTTCTGTCCCTGTTGTGTTGCTGCATGAGTCACTGGGTACACATGACCCAAAAATCTCACAGATTGTCATCAATGAACATGCTAGTTGTGGAACCTGGAAACAGCAGTCAAAACCAAATGGCATTATTAGTTTTCAATTGGATTATATTTTTTGAATCAAAACTTTCACCATAGTCACTTCATTTTAGGGGAAAAGGACCTTGAGTTGCAAACTAGGGGTCTCAAGTTCGAATCCCCATAACATCATAGTTGTGTGTGTGAGAAATCTCCCTCTATTGTAGTTTCAACTAAAGATATTTAGTCATATACTCATTCTTAGCACTAAAACTATAAATAAATCCTACATCATTTAATTTCTATAAACAAACCCAAAAAAACCCAAAAAATAACAGCTGGCCCTATTAAATTAAATTTTGATTATTAAATTACTTTGATACCCTATTGAGTGTTTTGTGCATTTTTATGAGATTTTGGGGTTGTGTTTGTTTTAAGAAATCAATGGCAGTTTTGTAATTTAAAAGAAGTTTAAAGCCTTTTTGTTATGTCGTAAATAGGCTTTGGGTGTGTTTCTAAAGTCTATTTCATATAAGGCGTTTTTATAATTTGGGCTTTTATATTGGGTATAATAGTGAATCTCCCTTTAAACTATCGCTTGTACTAAAAACGAAAGTTCAATTTTGACTAGATTTAATTCCCAAATAACAGTTACCATTTAGTATTTTAAAATCCCTATTTTCTTCATTATTTTTTTCATTTTTCTTCCCTTTTCCCAAGTTGGGGAAATAAAATAACCTAAATGTGGAGTATTATTAGCTCATCCAAGGAACCTAGAAAACTCAGTACAATATTGTACTTTATTTAAGTAATGGGGAGATGTTTTGGCTCAATGAAAGGAACATGTACCATGCCAAGTTGTGACAAAATCTTAATACAATCGATGCTTGATATCCCAGCAACAAGCGCATTTAGCAGGGGAGCATAACCTATCAGATGGCTGCCACTTCCAGAATAATTTGCAGGACAAGGAGGAGACAACAACCTAATAACAAAATGAGCAGTGTGTTCCTACATGAAATGTAGACCTAAATGTAATTAGAATGATTAGCTAGTTTCGCAGAAACCAGATTCGATGACGATAATGATCATAATGATGATGATAAAGAAGAAAATTAGAGAATGTAAAGAGAAGGGAAAGGATAAGAATTCATCACTTGAATATTCCAACCCTGAATCAGGGAGGCTCCACAAAGGATGGCAACTGCTGATATCTTGTCTGCATCTGAGCCATTGATGGCTACCTCAAATATTTTCTCCAGCTCTGTTATGCTTCCACCAAAACCATGAGCTTACATTCAATTGCTTTACCTTGTTTAGATTTACACACACACACACAAAGAAGAAGAAGAAGAAAGAGCATCTGTACACCTGGCTTCAGGAATAAAATGGAGACCAGGCCAGAATCAGAAAATCTATAAATTTAGCTAAGAATAACTCATTCATTTACTTAATGAGGCCAAAATCAACATATAGTAGGGCTGGCCTGAGATTTTTGGGACCTGAGGCGACAACAAAAGTTAGGCCATGCATCCACCGTCTATACACTGAGAATAATAGGGGTGTCATGTAAAGACTAGCATCCATGATCACACTAAAATTGATGGTATCATTAAGGCAAAACCATAGAAGCCTTCAAATGAAACTTCCAGGAACTAAGAAAGCAAAACATTTTAACTTAGTTAATAAAATTTAAGAAGAAGAAGATCTAAGTATACCTTGGCGCAGGAGTTGAAACCAATTCATTTGTCAACAATGGAGTAAGCGGCAATCCCTGCATTAACGATGACCAACCAGGCACTTGAGCAGGCTCACGAGGTATTTCATTGATGCATCCTTTCACATAGCCTGGCCAGAAATATGCTGATGTGTCTATTAGATTTCTTGCTATACAAGCCTCAACTGAGAGAAATACATTTATACCACAAAAAAGCAGTCCCTCATAAAAATGGAGAAGTAGGCATCCTCCGTCATGAAATGGAGAAGTAAACATCCTCCTAAATTCATGTAGGAGGTGATAGATGCTAATGAGTGGGATAATAACAGTATGGTGTCAGAAACTCAGGGCCAAGGGACGAACATTCAGAGGGTCAGAATTACAATGCAATGCCAATTGGAGATTCTCTAGTAAAAAGCTTAATCTGAATGTATAATTCAGGTTTTACTTACAGCAATCACTTGAGATGTCTTTCGTACTGATGTAATCCAAGTATGCACTTTCAACCTTAGCCCCTGAGATAAAGAACATTGCTTTTACAGCAGCCTGATTCGCTGCAGAAACAGCAGAACGAGGGGGAGCCAGAAGTCCTATAAAATTTCCCAGCATCTGTAAGCTTGAGACTAAATCGTCTCGAGACTTCCCCGTGACCTTTTGTTTTCTCCAGTGACTGACAAAGCTATGTTCTTTCTTGTCTACTTGTCCACTTTCATCTTCCTCAATGAGACCAGCAACCACAAGAGGGGTGACAGACAGCAACATGCATAAGCGAGAGTCTAGGTGAGGCATAGGGGACTCAAGAGGATCCCTTTCCTGAAAATTAGTAAGAAGTAACATAAAAAGAGAAAAAGTAAACAAATGG